TTTAGGCGTTGTCCTTGACCATAACTGGAACCTCATGGAACATTTCAAAGCGATCCGCGCTATATTTCCGCCCTCCAATGTGGTAATAGGTTATTAACACTAGAACGCCGAAGGCGGTCATTTTGACCGCTTTTCCAATTTCAAGTATAAAAGCAACTGTGCATTTAATGACACTTTTTTTTAAATTTGGTGAATTTTTTATAATAAACGTAATTCTATGAGGAACAAAAAGTCACCATATTTTTAAAAAAAAGTGTCATTAAATGCACAGTTGCTTTTGTACTTGAAATTGGAAAGCGGTCAAAATGACTGCCTTCGGCGTTCTAGTGTTAAATAATATCTGAATACGTAAGCACCTGTAAATATTTAAGTGTAACTCCCGCATCCGAGTACCCACGACAATATAATTGGTATCAATTAAAAAATCAACCACTCATCTTGAATATACTATCAACTTCTCGGGTCTACGTCCTTCAGTGGTAAATATATACGCTATAGAATACAAATGTTGTCATTTTTCAAACAAAAGGTAGGGTCCATTTGACCCGCTAAATACTGACCGATCTTTATCAAAACAGGCATGCTTATTCTTTGGCCCGAACCCCTTCTCCATGCAAAAATATAATATTTGAGCCATAATTGCGGCCACTGGAGCGACCAGAAAAACCGACAAAAATAAAGTTTTTGGTCCATTTCATCCCCTAAATATTAACACATCTTTTCCAAAAACAATAGGGGTCTTCATTGGCCAGAACCCATCCTACATGCAAAATTTCGTGAAGATTGGTCCATAACTGTGGCCTGTATCGTGTTTACAAATTATAATCGACAGACGGACGGACGGACACACATGTCTAGATCGACTCAGCTAGTCGAGATATGACGATCGGTATACTTAAAGGTGGGTCTAGGACCAATATTTCGCGGCGTTACAAACTTTTGGGGCTGCACAAAGCTATAATACCCTGACAACATTGTTGTGTAGGGTATAAAAATTGAAAATTAAAAAAAATTGGAAATTAAAAATATGCACAAAAGAACTGTCAGATCAGGGATGAATATTTTTAGATTTACTATAAATGGTGTTTTATTTATTTCGATATTATTATAGGAACACCAATTTCAGAAAGAGTCTAAGTCATCTTGAAGTAGAGTTGACAAACATTCAGATCGATGTGAGAAGAAAATTTTTACGTCATCAGCGAACATTAGTATTTTTGAGTTTTTAATTGAATATGGAAGATCATTAATAAATAGTAAAAACAGGACAGGACCAAGATGATCATCTAGAGGAACTCCAGACGGAATAGAAATATGGGTCGATAACGTAGGTTAAAATCCAATTTAAAATATTTGTCCTGAAACTTATTCGATCAAGTTTATAAATCAGCAACTTGTGACGGAATAGAAATATGGGTCGATAACGCATTTTGAAACAACACAACCTAAGATCGATTCTGTAAGTAGATTGAAATCCAATTTAAAATATTTGTGCTGAAACCTATTCGATCAAGTTTATAAATCCGAAACATGAGTCTATCAAAAGCCTTGCTAAAATCCGTGTTAATAACATTAGTTTGTTTTCCATAGGTAAAACCATAGTCTCCGATGTAAATTGTATTAGGTTGGTTGAAGTAGAGTGGCCACGGCGGAAACCATGTTAATAAGGGCTCGTAATAGGTAGGACTTTATGAGAAATTATTTCTGTTATAAGCTTTTAAAATAACTTAGGAATGTAACTTAATTTAGATATTCCTCTATGGATTGATACATCAGATAAGCTACCTGAATTATGTAGGGGTATTAGAAATGATTTCTTCCAAAGTTTAGGAAAATACCCAAATTTGATTGAATAATTAAATAAAGTGATTAATGGACGGGATAAAATATTTTAATATGTTTTTAGGATATTACTAGGACTGCAATCAGGACCAGTACTCAAGCGTCGTAAACTATTTATGTTGTCCTCAAGCGTCGTAAACTATTTAGGACATGAGTAGTATCAAAATAAGGGGCGTCAGGGGAAAATGAAATATAAAACATAATTATGGTTTGGCTTGGACCTTAAATATATCGAAAATTACGCATGACGCTAAAAAAGATGTGTGAAGTCCTCAAAATAGCAAATAACCGGTTACTATCCAAAATACTGAAATTCTAGCGGTAACTTTTTTAGCAGGCTAATTGGACCAATATCAAACATTTTTGGTAGAACCATTTAAAATACACAAAAAAAAAACGAAATACAAAATTACTTCTAAATCTGCTGAAAAACTTTTCCAACATCCACAAAATACCGAATATTGGGGGCATCGCTGTATATGATCAAAATATGAGCCGATGTATCCCATTTGCCTAAAAGTACTAGAAATATATTTTCGACATTTCAGAGATCAAAAATTATATTAAAAATTTAAGCCACAGACCTAAGTATCCTTCAAAAAACTTCTTTAAAAATATACGCCTCTGGCCTGAGTAACCTTCAAACAATTTAAACAAAATGGATGCCAAAGACTTGAGTATCCTTCGAAAATTTAGCAAATCCACTCCTTTCACTTTAGTATACTTCAAAAAAATTATAAAAATCTACATCTCAGACTTGAGTACCCCTCAAGCAAATTTAAAAAAATCTTTGCCACAGACCTGAGTATCCTTAAAAATTATGATAAAAATCTACTCCTCAGACCTGAGTATCCCTCAAAATTATAATAAAAATTTACGCCTCAGACCCGTGTATTCTTCAAAATTATCTTAAAATCCTGAAGGATGTGACAGAAGTATCCATAAAAAACCTAAAAATATACGAATCAGACGTGAATTCTCAAAATAAATTTAGAAAAGCTACGCCAAAGACCCTCAAAATGTTTGTAAAAGTTCACGACTCAGGTCTGAGTTTCCCACATTTTTTTTAAATCTACGTCTCAGACCAGTGGTTGAAGGGGATCGTTTTTTGATCAACCAAAATATGGAATTTATGGATCATCCATTGATTGAAAATCCATTGATTGAAAATCCTTTAAAATATTCCACGTTCATACCTCCTTAAAAAATTCACGCTTTTACCTCGGATAACTCCTTAGATATATTCTAAAAAAAAATCCACGCTTTTAGCTCGGATAATCAATCCATTGAAAAAATATTCTTTAAAAACTCTAAAAAAATCCACGAACTTACCTTGTAAAATCCCTTAAAAATATTTAAAAAAATCAACGCTTGGAAAACCCGTAAAAAATCCAAGGAAAATGCTTTAAAAAATTCTTTAAAAAATCCACGTCTATATACTGAATAATCTTTTAAAAAATATTCTTTAAAAATCCACGCTTAAAGCTCTGAATGGTTTTAAAAAATATTCTTTAAAAAATTGCACATAAAAACTTTAAAAGCCTTTCAGAGTTTTTTTTTTTAATATTCATTAAAAACCACGCTGAAAGCTCTGGTACCATTTAAAAAATATTCATTAAAAACCACTCTGAAAGCTCTAATATCTTAAAAAAATATCTTTTAAAAGACGACGCTTAAAGCTATGATAATTTAAAAATATATATTCTTTAAAATCGACGCTTAAAGCTCTGATAGTTAAGAAATATTCATAAAAAATACACGCTTAAAGCTCTGATAGGGTTTAAAACATATTCATGAAAAATCCATTTTTCTACCTCGGATAATCCTTTTAAAAAATAGTCTTTAAAAAATCCACGCTCTGATAGGTTTTAAAAAATATGCTTTAAAAAGCCACGCTTAAAGCTGTTATATGTTTTCAAAAATATTCTTTAAAAACCACACATAAAGCTCTGATAGGTTTTAAACAATATCCTTTAAAACCCACGCTTTATGTTCTTATAGGTTTAAAAAACAATATTCTTTAGAAATCCACGTTTATAATAGTCTTTGAAAAAATATTCTTTAAAAAAATCTTCGCCGATAGATGGAATAGTCCTTCAAAAAATATTATTAAAAAATCAACGCCTATAGCTCGAATAGTCCTACAAAAAATATTCTTTAAAAAAATTGACCCTTCTAACTACAAAAAATACTATTTAAAAATCCAAGATTATAACTAGAAATGCAGAAAATACTTTTTAAAAATTCACGCTTATAGGTCGGATAACCCTTCAAAAAATATTATTTAAAAATCCGGGGTTAATAGCTGGTATTGTCCTTAAAACAAATTCTTAAAAAAATATTTTTGGAATATCTAAAAAATGTAACATTTGAAAACCATACAATTATAACTCGGAGATTCCTTAAAAGTCATTAAGAAAATATTCTTTAAAATTCAAGTTCGTATCGTTCTTCAAAGCTTATTAAAAAGAAAATCTTAAAATCCTTAAAGTATCCAAGCCTATAGCTAGGATGGTCCTTGAAAATATATATTAAAAAAAAAATATCTTGCATGGAATAGTCCTTCAAGAAATATTCTTTAAAAGTCCAAGTTTATAGCTCGGATAAAATACTAGTCCTGAATTTCCAAAATTGTCGAACACATTGCACTTTTCCATCCCTGATTTTTATTAACTTACTCTATAATTGCTGGTATTGGTCTTTAACTGAGCCAGCATTGATCACTAATGGATTCACTATAAATAGTTATCAATACTGCACAACTACTCGGCTACCTACCTCTAATCGTATCGCGAGAATGCTGCTGCTATTTTAAACGTTTCTTAAACGTTTTTTTTTCGAATGGATAAATATTTATTTTCACACTTTATGTGGTAATAAATTGGCTACTTATTTATGAGCGGATTGAAAACATAAATAGTGAATTCAGTTTATAAATAAACCAATATGGCAATTGCAATTAATTGCTCTAATTGTAAGGCGGAACATTGTAAATTAATAGTAGAACAACAACAAAACGATTCTGAATGTCTTAACGACATTTAGTTGTCATCGTATCCTTTTTGCGACAATGATTTATTGAAAGTTGTTTTAAAATTAGAATTCAGTTGGAAAAGTCTAAATTATTTAATCATTTTTATTATTTTCTTTTTTTGTAGGATGAACCCCTTAACACCTACCTTAACTTGGGCGAATGCAAAGAGCTCGAGGAATACTCCCTGAAATGCATCAAGGACGGCTGCTCCTTCAAGGCTGTGGCTAAGAATGGTGAAATAATTGGTGTCTTCCTTAATGCCCTTATGCACCGTCCTGCCCCTGATGCGGTACCCGAGGCCTCTGCAGATACCTGTGAACATCCTAAATTTAAGAAAATTCTCCAACTGATGGATTTCATTGAGGGTGATTTCAATGTTTTCGATTTGTATCCCGGCACCAATACCATTTTGGATGGTAAGATTCTGTCGGTAAATACCAATTATCGTGGTCTGGGTATTGCTGGCCGTCTTACCGAACGAACATTGGATTATATGCGTGAACATAATATCCCTGTGATGCATGTCTTGTGTTCTAGTCACTACTCGGCTAGAGTTATGGAAAAATTGGGTTTCCATGAGGTGTATCGCCTAAATTATTCCGACTATAAGGTCAATAATGAGGTTGTATTGAAACCAGAACCACCTCATGTTGCTGCCAGGATTTTGGTCAAGGAGATTGCGGATGTGGTGAAAACAAAACTATAAAAAAAGAAAACGCAACGCAAACAGGAAGAGGCTAGATGACTAGCTAAAAAGAGGAGGAGAATTTATACGGTCGGAGATTGGAAGAAAATGAAAAAGAGAAAAATTCCCCACCCATTTGTTAGTTGCATGGTTGTATGTACGATATGTATACCACCCTAGGTGTATGTATATGTTAGTTTGTAATATTTGTATGTATGTCTGTTGTTAATGAATTTTGTTTTTGTTTTTAATTTTCTTTTCTACATATAATTAATATTTTAAAACTTAAAATTAAAAATAAAAATATTAAGAAAGTATTGTGATTTTTTAGAATGATTTAAGTTAATTTTTATATGGTGTTGGTTTAAATGGAATTTATATATAAATATACAATATTACAATTATTATTATTATCATTTTAAGTTGTAAATTTCTTATTGACAGGGGTTTTGAAATACAATGAAAAAGTATGCCATATTTTATTTATTTGAAATTGTTGAGATTTTTTTTTATTTTTTTACAAATTATTTGTTTGTGATTTTTTTCGTTTGTCATTAAAAAACAAAAAGTCAATAATTTGATGATCAGCAATATTTATTATTTCAAAATAATTGAAAAAATTCCCCTATGGGAAAAAATGTACAATGATTTGCATTTTATGGATTTTAAATACATATAACTATTAATTGATTATTTTTTCTTTGATTGTATTATATTTTTTTTTTTGTTTTTATTTGAAATTGTTATATGTATATGCCCACTGTGTATTTTTTATTATATGTATAGTTCTAAATGTAATTTGACATGATTATGATTGAAGATTTTTGTGACTATTTACAATAATAATGTTATATAGTGCAAATATAAAAATTATTTTATAAATAATTTCATTATGTCTCTATCATAAAATCATAAATAAATGCCAAAATATCGCAACAGTTTGTGGAATATTTTTTTATTTCGGATTTGGTGGTAAGTTATTTTCCCACAGCCTTGATGGAAATTTGCCTCTGCACATAGGTTCAAAAATAATGGAAAGATGATTCCCCTCTTCGGAGTTAATCTAAGTTTGGTAAAAGTATTAGAATTTGCAAAGTTTGGATCAAATCGGACATTTAATTAGCTTAAAATATTAAAAAAAAACTTTTACACTGTGGGGGAAGTACCAGAAGAAGTTGACCGATATTCCCAATCTTCAAACTTGATTTAAGTTTGGACGAAATATTATTATGTGCAAAGTTTGTATGAAGTCGGTTAAGCACTTCAGAGTTATCGTGCGCACCAGCCAGACAGACATTTGTAAATCAACTCCAAATTGTCTAAAACTTATTTGAGTTAAAAGAAACCAATTTTTCGATGAGGCAAAGTGTGTATACCCTCATTATCTTTGTAACTCATCGAAATTATTATTATTAATATTCGCCCCTTGTAGGGATAGTCCCCATATAACCCCCTTTTTATATTAAAATAATTATCTAATTTGGTCCGCGTTTTTGGGTTATCCCTATATAGTCGTATTCCACCAAAGTAGGGGGATATTCTGTACTCGAGAGTATGGTATTGTAAAACAATTTTGCCGATTCTGCCATCTGTTGTAAACATTCTACCTTCTGATGATATCGAGATAAAAAATTAGAATGTCAGGTTCGATAATGAACTATATCGCTCGCATTTAAGCCCCCATAGCATGAATTGTAATGCAAAAATGTTAAGTTCGAAGTTGAGCTATATCGGTCCTCAATTAAGCATAACTCCTCTTGCTTTAGGTATAGCCTCCAGGGACTATATAGTTGCCCACACTCGGAAAACCCCTCATACTATGAAAAAGCAACGAAAAATAAACCCAAACCCCCCAATGTTTACGACCCCGCGTAAGTATAAACGACAACGATCTGCGTTAATATCAGAATTAAAGACCTCGTCCCCAGATTCACTAGATGAGCGAATTGCTATAATCCGTACAAGTTCTTCTACATCAGTCTTATTTGCGTCCATGCTCCGAGGGAAGATAGAAACAGAACATGAGCGCGGCGCTGGTCATGACATTAAAATTCTGCTAGGAGAAATTAAATGAAAAAATCGGTGGAGAAAATATTTTTGTCCCCACCGTCGAAAAATTCAGCCTCCTGATTCAAGCATCTCGATTTACATAAGTCCACCTGGATTTCTCCTGATCATGCAACGAGAAATCAAATTGATAATGTTTTGATAGACGGA